CCGCAGGATCATCCAGGACGACGTGCTGTGTGCGGGCAGCAGGGCCGGGCCTCCTGCTACCTGCGTCCTCGCCCAGCCGCCGCCCGGGCTCAGGCCTCCCTCCCCTCCCCCAGGGCGACTCCGGAGGGCCCCTGGTCTGCAAGGCGAGGGGTGCTTGGCACCTGGTGGGAGTGGTCAGCTGGGGCTGTGGCTGCGCCCTGCGTGACATCCCCGGCCAGCCCGGAGGAGTGACACCTGCCTCCCCCCGCACCTGCTGCTTCAGCCGCGGGCGCCCGGTCCCTGGCCCGGGCCCCCCCTTGGCTTCTGGCCTCCGCAGGGCGCGGCACTTCCCTGACTGCTGGGGGAAGGGCAGGGAGATGCTAGCGAGGGGGTGAGAGACCCCTGGGCAGAGGGTGCCTCACTGTGCTGTCTCGGTCAGATTAAAGAGCTTGAGGAAGAATCAGAGTGTGGCCAGTCTTTGTAGAGTGGGCTGACCACAGGCAACGTGGCTTTCCGTGGCAGTGTGTCGCCAAGCCCTGATGTGCAGAGGGCTGCGCTGGGGCTGGGGCCCTTCAGGCTTGGAAAGGGAGAGTGAGGACTTGGTGGCGGCTCCACTCGGGCCACAGCCCCTAGCTCTGCCCTCGTGCACACACAGGCCACCATGTGGCGCTGCGGGCAGTTCCAAAGGGGATTTATCCGGTCCCAGGATTAAATCGACCCACTCACCCGTCCATCCACCCACTGATCCATCTGTCCATCCGTCCATCCATCCATCCCTTTATCCTTCTTTCCACCCATCTGTCCATCCAACTTCCCTTGGGAGGCAAGGTCCGGTCTCTGAATTAACCAGCTGCCATGCAAAAGTGACTCAGATATGACGCAAATATGTCTTCCCCTCTAGGGAGGTGTTTGCTCCTGTGGGTACCATTCGCGTGAGAGCCTTCCCTGACCCTGCAGGGCACCCTCCGTGGCTGCATATGAGCTCCTAGTGCTGGGCACCAGCCATGAAGAGGGAATCAGGGAGCTGCCTCAATAGAGCTGATGCTCTGACCCCAGGGAGGGAAGGGTGAGGATGCAGCAGGGCTCGAGGGGGGACGAGGGGGTCAGCCCAGCCGCGCTGGAGCAGCCTCCCGGGAGGCGCCCAGAATATGCAGAGGCTCCCTTACACCCCCCCAGCCACACGCTGGGTCTCCACCAGGCACAGCCAGGTGAAGCAGGAGGCCACGTGCCCCAGGGCCGTGATGTCTGTGCACTGCAGGGCCAGGTGGAGATGAGTGCCCCCCACCTCCAGGAAGCCCTCCCTGGTTCCCGTGGGGCACGCTGGCTCGTCTCCTCTGTCCCTCAGGTCTTTCGGGCTCCTCAGGAGGGCCCCAGCTCGAGGCCCAGAGTGAGCCAGGAGACGGCTCAGGCCCTCGTGACTCGTGCCTGTGCCAGCCCACGCTGCCCAAAGTCCCCACCCCCACCCCGGGGTCCCGAGGTCCCGTGGTCCTCACCACAGATCAGATGGGCACAGCCCCAGCTGCCCAGCTCAGAGCGGGCCCTTCCCAACCGTCCCCTGTGTGGCCAGGGCCGGATGACAGAGCCGATTAGGGGCCCTGGGAGGGGGCTGGCCTTGGCTGTGCCCGCCCCCGGCTTGAGACAGGACCTCTGAACACCATCTGTGTGCTCCCCCCATGCCTCTGGACCCTGTGTCATTTCTGCACCCACTGGACAGGAGAGCAAACTGAGGCACGGGGAGAGGTGTCCTGTCCCTCGGTGCCTCCCTCCCCTGGCCCTGGGGATGCCCTTCCAGCCCGTGGGGTCTCTGGTCACCCAGTGAACGTAGGTCATCTGGGCCCGTGTGGTGGCCTCCTCAAGGGGACCCCTCCTCCTTGCCCCCACCCCCACACTAGCCGCTGACTTGGCTCTGGCTGCCTTCGCCCCTGACCTTTCCTGGTCTCGCCTGTGTGGGTATGGTTTTCAGGGACACGGGGACACACTCGACCCCCCACCCCACTGCCCTGCGTCCCCTCCCCCACCCGAGGTCCACTTCATCTCTGGTCTGCAGCTCTGGGCTGGAAGGAGCCTAATCCTGTCTTTCCACCCTCACCCTTTGCCCTCTGAGCCTTTTCTCGTGAAACGTCCCTCCCTCCACACCTCATCCAGCCCAAGGCCTATACAGGCCTCAGAAAGTTCTACAAGTCATCACCCCAACAGTGGACAGTGATGACCCCTGGGTGGGATGAGGGAAGGAGGAAGGAGGGAGAATTTCTTTCTTTCTTTCTTTCTTTTTTTTAATCTTAACATGTCCATATCCGTCAAGGGCTTCCAGGCGGTGCGAACATTTGTCATAAAAACAACTTCTGGGTAGAGAGGAAGAAGGTGCAGCCTCTCTTCCCCCCTGTGACGAGGTTTCACATCAGCCGCGGCTGGGGGGGCGTCTGAATGTGAAGAGAGAGCGGGCCGGGTCTCCCGTGCTTTGGGGGTGCACTCCCCATGCCCCCCTGCCCTCTAGCTTTGCCGGCCCCGCCCTTGAGGGCTTGGACCCGCACCAGCGAAAGCTCCCACCTCGTTCTTCCACAGCCTCCCTCCATGTGAGAATAGTTCTAGAAGGATCAGAGGCCACACTCGTGCACGCGCGTGTTAATAACAATGAAATCTTCAGTGTACAAGCAGAAACACCTCCGACTGTAAAAAGCAAACAAAAGAGTTTGCAGCAACTGTGAAAAGCAAAGTGTTAATGCGCTCATTTAGTTGAAAGTCTCCGAATGATGGCTGCCCGGGGAAGCTCCTGGCTCCGCTAGAAACAAGATGAGTGCGTGTTGCACGTGGAGACAGCAGGAGGCTATTTGCTGAGGATGTAGTGGTGCCCGCCTGGCTGAGTCAGTGGGGTGTGCGACTCTTAACCTCAGGGTCATGAGTTCGAGCCCCATGTTGGGCACGGAGCCTACTTAAAAAAAAAAAACATTGAAACTTGAGCGTCTATTGGGATTTTCCTCCATAATGTAGTTGTATTATGTCTTCTTAAGAAAATAAAGTTTCTTTATTTCTTTTGAGAGAGAGAGAGGAGAGACAGCACGGGGGACGGGGGGAGCAGAGAGACAGACAGAGAGAGAATCCTAAGCAGGCTCAGCACCATCAGTGCAGAGCCCGACGCGGGGCTTGAACCCACTAACCGTGAGATCATGACCTGAGCGGAAATCAAGAGAGGGACATAACCGACTGAGCTCCCCGGGCGCCCCTGTATTGTCTTCTGATCACATGTTTATGGATTACTTATCATGTATTACACATTGTAACACTTGGCTCCCGATGTATTCTGTCTCACATGGAACAGGAGAACAGGGACCCCGTTCCCAGTAAGGCAGGGGCGTGTAGCCAGGGGGCACGTGGGGGACTCTGCCCGAACAGCCTACGGGGGCTCTGCTGACGGCCATGGCCGGCTGCGGGGAGTGAGGTGGGGAGTGAGGGGGTTTGCACAGAAGTACGCTGATGGGCCCAGGAGAAGGTTTGGTCGAGCAAACATTCCTTGTTGGTCATTGATGGAGGGAGCACGGGGGTCTAGGATTCCCGGGAGGAGAAGGGGGAGCGGCCTTTCTAGAAGGAAGGAGGTATCACCACCTGCTCCAGGGTGCAATTTCAAACACAGACGCCGCCCCAGAAGCCCAGACGGCAACGGCAGTCTTGTGTGCGCCGAGGCAGTTGGGGGGCCCGGGTGCATCCCTAAGATGAACCGGGACCATGGTGGGGCAGGCGGCCTGTCTCCCCGGCGGGGGCACCATATTCTCCACACAGGCAGTGCTCAGCCCCGTTAGAGTCCCCAAGACACCAGGTAACACCTCCACCAGACGCCACTGCCCACACGTGAGACCAGGATGAAGTGTGATGGCCATTCTCCTGGCGCCTGGCTGGGGGGGGGGGGCTCGAGGGGACAAGCCCTTTGGAGGAGAGCCTGGCCTTGTCTGGCGTGGAGGGAGTGCAGACCCCCGACCTCGGCCGCCTCTCGTTGGCACGTGCTGCAGACCCTTGGGCCACAGCCACCCGGTGCTCAGACCCCAAAAGGGGGCTCCCCAAGGCCCCTGTAGCAGCCTGGACGGCAGGCGCCGGCAGGGGTGAGTGCAGCTGTGAGAGGTGGGCGTGTGCAGGGAAAGGCGAGGCTCGGGGGGTGTCACACAGGGGGAGGAGGGGATGGGGGTGTGGGAGATGTGCACTATCTCAACCCATCTCGGGGCCCGGGGGTCCCTAGAAGCATCTTTTCAGTGGTCAGAGTCAGAGACCGGAGGTCAGGGGACAGAACCCTGAATCTGGAGAGGAACGGGGCTGAGCCCGCGGCCGCGCGGGAGCCATCCAGGGACAAGCGGGCCCCAGAGCCAGGCGGTGTCCGGGCCGGGCCTCCAGAGGCCGTGAGGCGGGGAGGTGGGCTGGGGGCCCCGGGGAGCGGGAGGAGGTGGCTGAGGGACAGGCGGGGAGGAGCCAGTGGCCAAGGGGAGGCCTATGTGCCATGTGAGTGTCGCTTCCGTCTGCCCGCCCCTCTGCGATGGCACTCGGGTTCCCTCTATAGCCAGGCAGCACGTAGGCAGAGCTGCTCGGGCACCCCGGGGTGGGCCCTGTGGGGGCCCCGAGGTCGTTTCCTCACGCGACGGGCCCCGGCAGCCCAGCCCTGGAAGGGAGGACGTGGAGAGGTGGGGGGGCACTTGGTAAGTGTCAGTGCCCCCCGGGCGCCTCCCCGCTCCTCTGAAGGTGGTCCGTAGACACAGAGCGGACACAGCACCACCACCCCTGGGTGCAGTCCACACCCCAGATGGGCCGAGGCAGGCGCCTCATCCATCCAGAGCCGACGAAGCCGGGCCCCCTGGGGGCGGCCTGTCCTCTGCTCGGCTGCACGCCCGCCCTTGGGGCCTGTGGGCAACCACACGGGCGCCTGGGCGTGGGGACACGTCGCATGAGGACCTTCATCTGAGTCATCCTCTTCCTTCACTCCGGATTGGAGGACGGAGCCCCCCCGCCCTGACCCCATCCTGGCCTAGAAGATAAATGGGGAGGGAGAGGGGGCTGTGCCGATAGCAGCAGGGGTTAGCCAAGGTAAGCCCCCCCGCCCCCGGCCCTGACATCTGGGGTCACTGTGGCACGGAGCTAAGGAGCCCCTGACCCAGAGCGTCGAGACCCCAGACCCCCAGGCCTGGACCGGAATTCAGTCCCAGGGTGCCCCCACGTCACCTGGACCCCGTACCTCACAGGCCCCGGCCTGGCCCAGCCCCACCCCTGCAGCCACTCTTCCACTGCTCTTTTCTATCACCACCTACCTACCTACCTACCTACCTACCTACCTACCTACCGCCTATTTTGAGAGGCGGGAGGGAGAGAACACAGGCGGGGGCGGGGCAGAGAGACGGGATTCCAAGCAGGCTGCCCACCGTTAGTGCAGAGCCTGACGTGGGGGCTCGAACGCATGAACTGTTGAGGCCCTGGCCTGAGCCGAAATCGAGCCCCCCAGCCGCCCCGGCTTGCTCCTGGCAGATGCCGGATGTGCTGGTGCTGGCGCTGCCTCTCCTGCTGAGCCTGGTCCACGCGGCCCCCGGTGAGTCCTGGTGCGGCCTGCCCTGGCCCTGCCCGCCCACCCCGCGTGCCCTGCGATGGTTGGGGGTGGGTTCCGAGAAGCCCAGGGCTGTGAGCCGGGGGCCGGGCTGCGTGTGGTCCTGAAGGCACTTCCCGCCCCAGCTTCAGGCCCCACCCTGGAGCGAGCGGGCATCGTGGGGGGACGGGAGGCCCCTGCGAGCAGGTGGCCCTGGCAGGTGAGCCTGAGACGCAGCCAGGGGTACTGGATGCACTTTTGTGGGGGCTCCCTCATCCACCCCCAGTGGGTGCTGACTGCGGCGCACTGCGTGGAGCGGTGAGTTGCAGAGGGGCCCGGCCAGGGGTGGGTGAGGCGGGGTTGGAGGGGTGGAGGTGGGGGGACAGGGAGTCTGGAAGGGTGGGTGGTGGGTGGGAGGGGACAAGAGTCTGGCAGCGGTGGGGGGGCGGGGGCTGGGTGCGGGCAAAAGCCTGTCCGGGTAGGGTTAGGGGTGCGGTGGGCGGGGGTCTGGCGGGGGTGGGGGAGGGGCGGGAGGGAGCGGGGGTCTGGCCTGGGGAGAGGTAATGGGGGTGGGCCCGGCAGCAGCGCCCCCTCTCCCCAGGGACGTGGTGGAGCCCAGGGGCCCAGCAGCAGCGCCCCCTCTCCCCAGGGACGTGGCGGACCCCACGACGATCCAGGTGCAGCTGCGGGAGCAGCACCTGTACTACCACGACGCCCTGCTGCCTGTGAACCGGGTCATCGCGCACCCCCACTACTACCACGTGCAGAACGGGGCGGACATCGCCCTGCTGGAGCTCGAGGACCCTGTGAACATCTCCGACCACGTGCAGCCGGTCACGCTGCCCCCCGCCTCAGAGACCTTCCCCACGGGGACGCCATGCTGGGTGACGGGCTGGGGTGACATCCGAAGTGGAAGTGAGCATGGGGGTGGCTGGGGGCAGGCTCGTGGCGGTGCGTTGGCCCCTTCTGACGCCACTCCCCCGGCCGCCCCCAGCACCCCTCCCGCCCCCGTACCCCCTGAAGCAGGTGAAGGTCCCCATTGTGGAGAACAGCGTTTGTGACATGCAGTACCACCTCGGCCTCAACACGGGGGACAGCGTGCAGATCGTCCGTGCCGACATGCTGTGTGCTGGGAACAGCAAGAAGGATTCCTGCCAGGTGGGCCCGCACGCCCCCCCCCCCCGCCCCGTCCTGCCTCACGAGCCACCGCTGACCCTCCCTCCCCCCCAGGGCGACTCTGGAGGCCCCCTGGTCTGTAAGGTGAGGGGCACCTGGCTGCAGGCGGGCGTGGTCAGCTGGGGCGACGGCTGCGCTGAGGCCAACCGGCCAGGCATCTACACCCGGGTCACCCACTACCTGGACTGGATCCGCCAGTATGTCCCGGAAGAACCCTGAGTCCAGCCCCCGGAGCTGCCAGCCCTCTGCTGTCCCCCCAGAGCGCTGCGTCCTTCCCGGGCGGCGTCCCTCCTCCCACACCTCTGCGCCCTGCTGGGGACCAGTCCGTGGGTGCTAATCCTCATTAAAGTGCATGGAGAGCAGACGTGGTTGTCCGTGGCTCGGGCTGTGGGCGGGGGTCACCGAGGGAGAGGGAAGGGGGTCCAGGGCACGGCCGGGTGCAGCTGCTGTCCCTGTGGGGTCCCGGGCCCTGCCCAGCCCCTGGCACCAGGGCCACTTCTGGGCCCGCTGGCCCATCTCTAAGGAGGGTGACATCATGCCCTTGGGACAGAGAAAGCAACCAGGACGACTGAAAGGATGTTTCTAGGGACCCCAGGCCCCTCAACGGGTTGAGATGGCGCACGTCCCCCCACCCCCCGTCCCCTCCTCCCCCGTGTGACACCCCCCGAGCCTGCACACGCCCACCTCTCACGGCCATACTCACCCCTGCCGGTGCCTGCCGTCCAGGCTGCTACAGGGGCCTTGGGGTGACCCCTTTCGGGGTCTGAGCACCGGGTGGCTGTGGCCCGAGGGTCTGCGGCACGTGCCAACGACAGGCTGCCGAGGTCGGGGGTCTGCACTCCCTCCACGCCAGACAAGGCCACGTGGGTCCCACACCCCCACGAGCAGCAACGGGAGGGCAGCCGGCTGACCCCACCCCGCAGTCCCCGGTGCTGGGCTCGGTGCTGGCGCCACGTCAAGGTTTCGGATCTTCAGGAGTTTAGATGAGGAGGGTCCCGTGGATGGCTGGAGGCCTCGGCCTCGGCACGGGGGGCGGAAGAGCGGCCCCCCCTGCAACGCCGGACAGGGTCCGGGGGCCCCACTGCTGGATGTTCTAGTTACTGTGCCCCGTCCCCGGTCTGGGCACCCGGGTGTTACCGTCACAGCTCACGTCAGCGCGCCGGCTCGTTCCTGGGTGGAGGGCTTCCCAGGAGACGGCTGCTCGGTGCTCAGGCCCCCGCCCCGCCCGCCCTGCCCCTGCGGCCCTGCCGGGAAGTCTCTTGAGCACACTGTTCCTGTCCTCTGCCAACTGAGCGATTCGAGATGCAGACTGTTGACTCGTCTCCCGGTCCTTCTATGAGGTAGGTGTGAAGCTTTGCCTCTGAGCCTGCCCTCCCGGGCCTCTGCTTTCCTGCTCAGACACAGCGAGTGCACCAACACACAGAGAATGACGTCACCACCGACCTTCGGGGAGTATTCTGGGCTCTTCGGGCCGGAAAGAGCTTTCTAGACCAACATTCACCTCCCTCCTCCCAGGTGCCAGGTGCAAACAGACACATGTAATCTACAAAGTCTCTGTCCTTCGCAGGTGAGATTCCGGAATGACCCACCGGGTTCCTTCTCCAGCCCCACCTGACCCCTGCAGCCTGCAGAGGGTGGCGCACGGAGGGGTGCAGGGGGTGGGGGTGCCGGGGGCAGAGGGGGCTCCAGCCCTCCCACCGCGCTGGCAGGGGCCCTCCCAGAGGGGCCACTATGTTCACTGGGCGACAGGAGACGCCAGCAGGCGGAGGGCATCCCGTGGCCAGAGAAGGGAGCCACCTGGGACAGGACACCGCTCCCTGCGCCCGTTTGCTCTCCTGTCAAATGGGGGCAGAAACGGCTCCGTGTCACAGAGACGTCAGGAGGCTCCAAGCCTGGTGTCCAGACTTCCTTTCCTGACAGAGTCGGGTCCCTGGGGAGGCTGCGGGCTCTGCAGGGAACCATGTGAGGGGTTACGGGTGGGGAGAGGGGACCAGGCTGCTGGAGCCAGGATAGGCGAGGGCCCTCAAGTCCTGCCTGGTGGGACCCGGGGGTGGTGCCCGGGTGTGTCCAGACGGGCCCCTGTCCCCTGCACTGGGTGACATCAGGCTTCCCGGGCCTGACCCTGCCGCCCACCCCAGCCAGGCTGATGGGCAGGTCGCCCCTTCCTGAGGCTCACGCTCGGGGCGTGTGGCCACAGTGGGTTCAACATAGTCCCCAACACATAGCTGGTGTTACTGTCCTCATTCATCATCTGGACAAACGACAAATGTGTCTTCTGAGCCAAGTCTGGGCCCCGAGAAGCCACATCCTGCTAGATAATCAGGCAAACCCCTCATGCCTCAGTTTCCCCACATCTAAGGGGCTTGCTGACCTGGAAGGTCTCAGAGGGACCCTCCTGCCTAGCGTGTGATTTGGAGCTGGGCCGGGAGCCGGGGGCGGGCACAGCCAAGGCCAGCCCCCTCCCAGGGCCCCTAATCGGCTCTGTCATCCGGCCCTGGCCACACAGGGGACGGTTGGGAAGGGCTCGCTCTGAGCTGGGCAGCTGGGGCTGTGCCCATCTGATCTGTGGTGAGGACCACGGGACCTCGGGACCCCGGGGTGGGGGTGGGGACTTCGGGCAGCGTGGGCTGGCACAGGCACGAGTCACGAGGGCCTGAGCCGTCTCCTGGCTCACTCTGGGCCTCGAGCTGGGGCCCTCCTGAGGAGCCCGAAAGACCTGGGGGACAGAGGAGACGAGCCAGCGTGCCCCACGGGAACCAGGGAGGGCTTCCTGGAGGTGGGGGGCACTCATCTCCACCCGGCCCTGCTGTGGTCTGTGGAGCCCAGAGCCGGCCGCTGGGTGCCAGGGGACAGCAGCCATGGGGGACAAACGGTGGGGACAGCCGTAGCTCCTGGTGCACAGAGGGAACCGGAGGGGCCTGCCCGTGGAGGCTGCCCCTCGGCTCCCCTCCCTCCCGCCGGCACAGCAGGTGAACGGGCCCTCCCTGCCCCACCCCAGGCCCGGCACAGGCGAGGCTCAGGGCAGCCCCCGCCCCTGCACTGCATAGACATCACGGCCCTGGCCCCAGGGAGGCTGAGCCCCCGAGAAATGGGGGTGAAGCAAGGAGTGACTGAACCAAGAGGGAGACCCTGAGGCCCCTCACTGTGAGCCCCCATGTGTCCTCTACCCACTGGGCTCAGGGTCAGAGAGCTGAGGTGTGACTGGGGCCCAGACCCAGTGCTGTCCACCGGGGCCCTGGCAAACAGGCTCTGGCCTCCGCCAGGTGGAGCCCCCCACCGCCCAGAGCACCTGGAGGCGGCTGTGGTGGGTGGGCCACGGTGGGTCCCCCATGTGCCTCGTGGAAGGAGGGGCCTGGACCTCGCCCTGATGCCGGTCTGCACTGGGCTCGGCCACCAGCATGGCCACGGCTGTCACGCACAAGGCTCTCAAGGGACCCCAAGTCCTGCCGTGTCCTGGCCCATCTGCACCCGGGCCAGCAGTTCACCAGAGATGACAAAGGTCAGGGCCAGAGTCTTCAGGGCAGGGAGAGGGCGGAGTGGGCCCCGACTCTGCCCCTCAGCACCCGTCCTTGCTGGGAGCCCTGGCAAACACTTGCTAAGTTTCCCCAGAGTGTGAATGGTCGTGCGTGGACTTGGCTCCTATCCTGAGCCTGACTCCTTCCAGAACCAGAGGGGACAGGCGGGGCCTCCCAGGAGACCCCATGGCCGTCCCTGGACCATCACCCAGCCCTGTTCTGGGTGAGACAATGGGCCCGCCACCCTCCTCTGACGGCGGTAATCCAACACGTTTCTTAAATAAGTTAATATTTATTCCCCTTGGTTTTGCCCACCACCCCCTCCCTCTTCCCCTAAGAAGCCAAATTTCCTGTAACGGATTATTGCAACATTTAACCTGAATTTATAAAAGAAACGTCCGTGAACCGCAGGGGCTCTGCCGCACCCTCCCAGCCCGGGCGGGGCCACCAGCAGAGGCGCAGAGGCGCCGGCTTATTGCGTGGACCCCACTCCCTGGGGATGCGGGCGTTTCCGGAACGTCCCCAACACAGAATGGTGGGCAGTGGGCCTCGGAGCGGAGGGGGCGAGGCGCGGGACAAACAGGTGAGGACTCAGGCTGTGAGCAACAGTGACGCGTGACCGTGGTGGCCTTGGGGACCAAGCTGCCACCCAACCCACCAGGGCACGGGTGGCCCCGAGCATGTGTTCCCTAGAGAAGTGAGTGGGCGTGAGAATGGCGCTCTGCCGGGCAGCCTCTGACTTCCTCTTTTTGGTCGTTTTCTGGTCTCTGTCCCAGGGACGCAGCGGTCACGAGGAGACTGCTGACCAGGCCTCGGACCGCCCTGGCGAAGCTGGGAAAACCCAAACCTGAGTGCACGGGCCGGGGGCTCCCACGCCGTCGGCCACCCCGTTCTGCGCCGCCCAGACGCGGCGTCTGCCTCCCTCTCCCCGGGCGGACGGCCTCCCGGCTCCTCTGCCTCGGCGGGGCCCAAGCCTGGGTCTGCGCACAGCCCTGCCTGGGGCCGCCACCCTGCTGGGGGCACCCCAACCCCAGTGCTAAAACCTGTGTGGCACTGTGCCCTCAGCTACACAGGCTTGTCTACACGGTCACCCAGGCTGGGGGTGGCTGGGGGGGACCCCGCTCTCTTTGGGGGGCTCTGGAGAACTTTGAGGTGCAGCCCTCGCCCCTTCTCCGGGGGGTCACTGGAGGGCACGGAGGGCTCTGTTTTGTGGGGTTCAGGAGGCACTGCGGCCCCCGAAAAGGAAGCTCTGGGTTCAGGGGCCACACTGTGGCCACCGTCCAAAAACAGGTCTCCGCCAGGGCCCCCCACGTCCAGTGGCTCGAAGGCGAAGCTGGGGACAGTCAGATGCTCCCCACGGCAGGACGCCTGTGCGCGCCGCTCCCCCTTGGCAGCAGGGTCCGCCCCCACCACCTCGGAGGGTTCTAGGGAGTCCCTGTGAGGCGTGGCCTCACAGGAAGGGGTTCTCCGCCTCAGAGTGCTGCTGCCCTCCGCTGCCGCAGGGGGCCGCGCCGTGCCCTCCTCCTCTGCGGGGGGGTCTACCGAGATGCAGGGGGGGCTCATCTTCTTCTTCCTGCGGGCCCCCGAGGCGGTCTCTGCCTCCGGGGCTCGAGCCTTCACCTCCCTGGCCTCCGGGCGGCCATCCCCTCCTCCCTGCTCCCCCGACAGCCGCCTCTGCTCATCCGCCGGGCCTGGCTGCTCCAGGAAGCCCCGTGCATCGACGCCGTAGAACTCGTGCGGGTCGGGCTCCGCGCCTGCGGCTCCTCGCGCATCAGGGGAGCCCGAGGGGCTTCTGGCCGAGCTGGTGATGTGGCTGACCTCCTCGTCGGTGGGGTCTGGGGCCTCAGCC